CTTGGTGAACTTGTCAATTGCTACGAAGATGTACTCGAAACCACCCTTTGCTTTCTTGAGAGGTCCTACTTGATCCAGCCCCCGGCAGGAGAAAGGCCAAGCGGGTGGGATGCAGATGAGATTGTGGGCTGACACATGAGCTTGTCTTGTGAACATTTGACAACCTTTGCATTTTCTGATAAGTTCTTCTGCGTCTTTCAGAGCTGTTGGCCAGTAGAATCCGGTGCAGAAAGCTTTACCGACTAGTGTTCTTGAAGCGGCATGATTTCCGCAGCAACCTGAGTGTATTTTGTCTAAGATCTCTTTGCCTTCTTCAAACGAGACACATTTTAGGAGTACTCCTGACGATGCAGCTCTTCTATAGAGCTTGTCCCTTACTAGGACGTAGTTTTTGCTTCTGTGAACAACTCGGGTAGCTTCCTCTTTATCTGCTGGCAACTTATTCTCTTTGATATAATCAATAAAAGCCTGTGTCCATGAAGTGTTGATTACCAGAATCTGGTTGCCTTTGGCTGTGAGTTCTGGGCTTGTCTCACCGGGTTGTTTGATTGAAGGAGCTGATAACTCCTCTATGAATACGCTGGGTGGGACCTTTGCCCTGTCTGATCCGAGCTTCCTTGCGCTGCCTAGCACGGTGTTGGCGTCCTTGCTTCAACTTGTTTTTTCTTTCTCTGGCTTATTTCTGATTCTCGGTCTCACCATCGTAGCCCTGGGCAAAAGGTGATATGTTGGATTCTGATTCATCCGATGACCTGACATCGGGCGCTTCTGGGGGGACTAATGGTGATCGAGGACGGCGAACCATGAGTACTTCCCGTGCGTGAACTGTTCTGTTATTGGCGTTAGTTTCCACACTGTCGGAATTGCTGATAACTTTAGTAGAGGCCTCGAGGTCGTAGATCGAGTCTCCTTCTTGGTAGGGTAGAATTGCCGTTGTCATCGTGTCGACCAGTCGGGTACTGCTATCCTCAGGAACAGAGCCTGGCCAGTGGATGATGCAGTCTTGAGATGTTATAGTTAGTACGAGACCTTCCTGAGCTCCCTTTAGTGGCATTCTAAGCACCAGATCGAGGAATCCTTCGGGCCGTGTCTGCTAAGATGTTGCCATGTTGTGGAGTCCGAACGGAAAAGGATCCGGCTTCTTGAAAAGATTCTGCGTGTACTCTGAGTTGTATTCTTGAGAGGTTAAGACCGCGTTCTTAAGCCCCATCAGAGAAGAATTCGGTTTCCCGAAAGAACTCGGATAAGACTCTATCTCGGATGTGGAGCCTGAGTTCGAGTCGGATACGCAAAGCCGCAAAGCCTGAGTGGAATCGAACATCACGAGCTACGTGAATCTTCTGGTGATTTGATCTGTCGTAGTCGCCGAAATAGAATAGTCTTCATGGTGATTTGAATCTTCGAGAAGACGGCTTTGGAGCTTGCCATTGTCGTCCGCCTCGCAGATCCATGAGTTGAAGATGAAAGTTGATCTCGTCGAGAAGGTCATGTGTCGAGGTCCATCGAGCTCTCAGATGCAAATACGCCGAAAGCCCCTACCTGGCGTGCCAGCTGTCGATGTTTTACCACCGATAGCTTGCCACGGGGTTACCGGGATAGTATGTTCGGGCTTCAGCGTATGTGGAACTCGACGGTAAACGCAAGAGACAGTCGATTTATCCTGGTTCTGGCCGTCGACTGTAGTCGAGTAATAGCCCTACGTCCAGTCGGCGTTAGCCTTTGCGTTGGATTGATTGTGTGTTATTATGTTGTAGAAGTCGTGATCTCCCGTCTCTAGGAACCCTGCCCTCCTTTATATAGTCAGGAGGTCAGAATCCTAGTCGGTTTACAATGAGAGTTCCTAGTAGGATTATAGAATAATACTACTACTAAGATTACATGGGGAGAATCCTAGTTAGACTAGATCTTCTCTCTTCCTTGTGGGGTATCCTGTGGGTCCCGCACCGACACCGGCTTAGTCTTCGAAGATGCTCATACCACCTGTTGAATTGGCCATTGTGCCCTCTGGTGCTGGAACCGGCGGTGAAATAGTTTTGCTATCTATTCTAGAAGAAACGACAATGGTAAGGGTGCCGAGATGACAAACTCTGTAGTAGTGCATCTCCTTCACGGTCATTGTGAAAACCCCAATTTGAGAAAAAATGATTGATTTTCTTGGCCAAGCTTTGTGATTTTGGTCAATAACTCACCAAATCCTAGTGGAGTTTTGTTCAAATTTGATGGCATTGGACTCCATTTGGCTAAGTTTTGAAAATTTTCTTACTGTTTTGTCCTACTAGATACAGGTTGCGCAGAACTTCTGCATTGCCAGAACCTCCGCGACCCAGAACTTTCGTGTAAAAATGTGGAACTTCTATTTTGCTTGACAGTAGTGTCCCAATTCAGTTTTGCTTATGTTGTTCCTTTGACCACTCCCTGATCCCTTCCTAGGTCACTTTATCATGCGTTGGCTTGTGTGATTTAGACACGGAAAGGAGAAGAGCTCTGGGATTAAATTTGGCACATTGGCAAAGTTCTTGCAGAAGAATTCTGATCGGCTCCAATTCCCCCCTCTAGTCGTCATTTGGGTCCTTCAGGCTTCTCTTTTGGTAGCACTTTGGTCATCATATCCGTACCATTTCGGTCCGTATGGATTTTCTCAAGTTGTAAAACTTGGAACTCATCACTTCTCGAATCCATTGGTATTGCACCTCAATATTCTTGGTTCAAGAATGAAGGTTTGAATTCTTGGCAAGATGAATGACACTTTAGTTGTGTCACAGAACATATTATACTTCTCTTGTTTTTGTCCCAACTCTTGCGAAGAAGTTTTTCGTCCATAACACTTCCTTCCAAGCTTCAGCCACTACTATGTATATACCCAACTTCTGTTGTTGATAAAGAAATGCACTTCTCTAGCCTTGATTGTAGTGACACTACTCCCTACAAATGTCACCAAATATCCTGATGTGGACTTCAATCCTTATCTTCAGCATAATCTGTATTTGTATAGCCTATAATACAGGATCACCATTTTGAAAGCACAAATGCATCTTAAAAGTGCTTCTAAGATACTTGAGAATCCACTTCAATGTAGTCCAATGTGTTTCTCCTAGATTGCTCATGAAACGCCTTACAATCCCAACTGCATAGGAAAAATGTCGGGCCTAGTGCACACCATGGCATGCATCAAACTACCCACAACAAATCCGTAAGGTACTTTCTTCATTGCTTCTTTCTCGTTTTTGCTTTGTACGAAATTGATTTGCACTCAATTTATGATGTCCTAAAAGTGGAGACTTAACTATTTTGCATTTTTCAAATTAAATCTTTTCAAGTATCTTCTAAATATATGCTTTATGTGAAAGCCAAAACTTCTCGTTTGATCTATCTCCAAAATCCTTCATGGCAAATGATTTGCTCAAGGTATTCTTCAAGAGACCAATTCATTTTGTGTCATTTCATACAGTCAACAAAAGCAAAAGGATAATAAAATCACCCTCAACATACATCTTCTAAAGAAACAATGATCAGATTGTGCTTTATGGTAACCAAGATCTGTCATAAATGACTCAAACTTTTTGTATCACTGCCAAGGTGCTTGCTTCAAGCTATACAAGCTCTTGTTCAATTTGCAAACTAATTAAGTGCTCTGTCCATGCAACCTCAAACCCTTCTGGCTGCTCCATATATATCTTCTCCTCTAGGTCACCATGCAAGAAAGCTATCTTCATATCAAGTTGTCCAACTTGAAACTCCATGGTATAGCAGCCATAGTAAACACAACTAATATTGAAGACATCTTTTTTTGAGGGAAACTGGAGGGGTTTGCACCCCTACAGTAAATTTTTATTGAAATAAAGAATAATACCCCAAAATGAAATTTTGCTTTGATAGCAAATTTTGTAGGACCAAAAAAAATATTTTGTAGATGTCATTGAAACTCCCCATAAATATTGAAGACATCTTGACCATAGGATAGAATATTTCATCAAAGTCGTCAGTGCCTTGCTTTGGACCAAAGCCGTTCACAACCAATCTTTGGTTGTACCTTGGAAGTGAACTACTTTCTTCAGTGCTTTCTTACCCTTTGGCAAATTCACCAATTCAATAGTGTTGTTCACAACCAATCGATGCAACCAATTATATGTACCTATCCCATCTTATTAATCATACGTACCCATTAACCTTGGAGTGTTCATACCCATAGTAGGTGGCTTCTCAGGCAATAGACAATTGTGTTGTGTGTGTGGCTGTAGCTTAATTAGTATGCTGACCGGAACCTGAAGATAACTCAATATTCCTGGGGAGTGGTTGCAAGCATGACTCTAAGATAGGAGTCAACTCTGACGTCTGAACCCAGTCGTTGTGTTAATGACGTTGTGCATGCATGTTTGCAAGCTGGATGTAGTGGAAACAAAATGCCACTCCAAGCTAAGTCCATAGACTTGTAATTCAGGTCAATATGAATCATTAAACACGTATGAGAGGTATAGAAACAGGAACAGTCAAGTCCACACGATTTCATGTGCAGCAAAGATGCTCTCTCTCTCTCTCTCTCTCTGTGTGTGTGTGTGTGTGTGTGTGTGTGTGTGTGTGTGTGTGTGTGTGTGTATTTATATAAGTGTCTGAACGGTGAGCTTTATTTGTATTATGGACCAAGCTTTAGCTCTACAATGGCCTCACCCTCTCATCATCACCTTTACTCCGGCCCTTTATTCTGGAATCTAGAACACTTTCGACATGGTGAGATTGAGACGTGCACAAGGTAGGGTAGGTTCTACTACCCATTTGTCTGTGGCGTCTGAAGTCTGAACACATGTGCAAGTGCAAGTGACTTGAGTGCCAGAGCTAGCATGCAGTCAATAATACAGTCAAGCGCCACAGTCCGTTCCCCGTCAGGCCGTCACCATTATAAATAAGTATCTACTCATCCATCACAACACTCACAAAGCAACAGCCGTCGTCTAGGTCTAGCTCGACCGATAGATCCGAGCACAAGCACCCAGCCAGCCACAGTCATGGCCGCTAGGTTCCTCCTCTTCCAGCTCCCTCGCTTCGTGCTCTCGCGCCTGGGCGCGCTCTACCATCGTGCTTCACCTTCCGCTGGCCCTGGCCTGCAGCGAATACTCGTTGCGGACACTTCCCACAAACAAGTGGCAGTGCACAGCGACGGCGACGCCATTGTTGCCACAAGTCTGCCTCGGGTGGCGGACGCGGCTGCGGAGCTGCTTGCGGTGAAGAGAAGGGCTCCTTCTCCTAAGGCCGGGGCCCAGGCAAGCCCAAGGAAAACCCCGGCAGAGATAAGCATAACGGCGTGCCGGACAAAAAAGCCAAGGAAGGCAACTAAGCCGCTTCTTCTTCAAGTTGAAGCTTGAACAACTGCACCAAAATGGTGCCAACAACGAAGTAGTATATTTATTGAAGATCAAACTGCGTACGTCAATTGCAACCTACAAACGTGTGCATTTATGAATTCGTAGGATCGGAAGTTCTTGGGTGGGCTTGGGTAGCAAAGTCATCTTTGTAATATCAGGTCGGTCATCCGATCCTTATTTGTTATTTTCCGAAGTTGGTGTAATCAGGTTCTCCGCCTTAATCAACCATCTGTGTGTCACCCGTCTGTTCATGCACGGTGAACAACCGCTCAGCCGTTCATCCCTTCGATGATATCGATCTGTACATTGTTTCAATCTACTCCCCTTAATGAAATTTGGCTTTGATAACAATGAAATGTATATTGGTCCTCCACAATCCTGTAGGACAAATAAATTATTTTGTAGAGGGCCTTGCTATGGTACTCCCTTACCTTCGGTGCTAAGATTTTAAAGAAATCACAGCCTTTAATTTTTAAAAAAACTAAAATAATTAAATAATCTAATTAAGCAAATTCTTAGAATCGTATCATCATCCCTCATGGAATAAATATTTTTTGTCCCCTCCTTCCTCGTTTGCACCGACATGATTCAGGTAAAGAGAATCGTTTGGTCCACATGATGAATCGTACACGCACATGGTGGGTAGTAATTTTTTTTTGCATTGGCTTGAGTAAGTTCGAGTAGTGCATCAAGAGCTGTTGGTGTTTCGAGTAAACACCAATGAGTAAATTTGTATATTACGCGTCTGACCCGGATGATGTGCTAAGAGGACACAAGGATTATACTGGTTCGGGCTGAATGTCCCTACGTCCAGTTTCGGGCTACTCGTGTTACTAGCACTGAAAGTTCGTAGTAGGAGGTTACAAACTGTCGAGAGAGGGACAGGTCCCAAGTCTCTGATGGAAAGATCGAACGGGTGCCGTGAGCTCGGTCACCGCTCAACTACGTGTTCGAGGTTGGATGCTTATGGTTCTGCTGTGATGCGGTGTGATGTGTGGTGAACCGATGCCTTGTTTGATGCCCCTCAGTGGGACGCCTTGCTCTCCCTTTTATAGGCCAAGGGGATGCACGGGTTACAATGGGAGAAAAAAGAGAGAACGAGAGGTAGAGGAAGTCCCTCAGGGTTGCCGGGCCTTCCTTTTCCTCCGTGCGGGCCCTGCTGACATGACGGTGGCGACAGGGACAGCCCCACACCGGGCATTTGACCGCTGACACCGCCATGCCATGGCGCTGATCAGCGGGTTGTAACGTCCCGCTTCGCCTCGTTAGGCGGTGCAGCGAACCGTCTAGGGAGTGCGCAACATAGTGATCGCGCGTCCGTCATTGGGGGCGATGTGAGTTCCCTAGAATGACCTGTCGTGGGGATGGGTCATGCTGAAACGTGACCGCTCCCTGCACGATGCCAGAAGTTTGACCCGGGGTAGTACCTTCTGGCCCGTAGTGGTTGGCAGCGGCGTGAGCTTTCGTTAGGAACCGTGTCCGAGGGGTCGGTGAAGCGAAACCAACCCTCGGACGACGGGCGAGGGGGAGCCAGCCCTCAGACGTCGGGCGAGGCAGAGACAGTCCTCGGGGGTCGGGCGAGGCGGAGCCAACCCTCGTGTTGGGCGAGGCGGAGCAACCCTCGGGGGTCAGACGAGGTGGAGCCAGCCCTCAGGAGTCGGACGGGGCGGAGCCAACCCTCGGAGGTCGGCCGAGGCGGAGCCCGTGGCCTCATCATCCACCGAGGCGGAGCCAACCCTTAGGATTTGGGCGAGGCGGAGCCAACCCTCGGGGTCGGACGAGGCAGAGCCAGCCCTCGGGAGTCGGACGGGGCGGAGCCAACCCTCGGAGGTTGGCCAAGGCGGAGCCCATGGCCTCATCGTCCACGGATGTGGAGCCCACCCTTGGGGGTCGGGCGAGGCGGAGCTCATGGCCTCGGTGGCCGGACGAGTCGGAGCCCAGCAAGAGGCGTAGTCATGCTCTTAACCGCTTGGATGAATCAACGTTGACGGTTATTAGCTCCTCCTCTTTGGGTACCCTAGTATTGGTCCCCGACAAGAGCATAATAAAACTACAAAGCCAACTTCATTCCTACCCCCGAAGTCGTGACTAGAACTGCACCATTTTCATCCTTTCGTTAGATCCAAACTAGGGTTGTATGCATCCTATTTTCTATATATATATATATATATATACACACACACACACACACACACACACACATATATACACACACTACACCACAACCCAAAATTAACGTCACTTGGGGGTTAAAAATACCAAATTAACGTGGGAAGGTTAGACGTTAAAGATTTCTAACGGAGTGTTTGTCGCTATATCTCGTTTTGGCTACAGACTATCGATTGCTAATTCTATTTCACTTTAACGTTGGACGGTCGGCAGTGGCGTAGCTAGGATTTGTAGATAGGGTGGTCCAATGATTGTTTAAAGAAATTTAACCAACATATTGATACACAAGTATATGAATTATGAAACACAATACGTTTAAGTTAAAGTGAACATACAAACATCATAAAATAAACAAGCTAGTCTAGCTTCCTTAATGTAGAATTGTAGATTACATACCTAAGATAGTTGAAGAACAGTACATCACTACTTTCTTTTAGGCTAGCTTGCGCCTTCTAAACTATGAAAGTATTGATTATTCCACCGTCACTCAATTGTAAGAAAATATCTTGCTTAACAAATTTGTAAGAGAATCGTAAAACATTTCAATTTATTATTCCAATAATCCAGTGCTGCATAAAAACTCCTACAATAATGTCCTATAAGTAGTCCAGTAGGGGGCTTCAACCCCTTTTGCCTAAAAAAATGTCCTATAAGTCAAGAACCTAAATCAGTATCGCATATCATGTGGTTGTGGCTTGTGCATTTTTTTTGTCTTGCTTTCATGTCGATCGCTAATCAGATGCTTATTTGCTTAGTTTCTAGGTGAGAGCTTGAGAGCAAAAAAGGGAATGGCGAGCAGGCTAATTGACTGGAGAGTTGTAGACATTCGGGAGGACTGAATCAATGTGTGTGCGATGTACAGCTGTAGTGCTTGGAACTCTGTTGGTGGGCATGGTTGCAACTGGCAGGGACGAATACGAAGGGAAAGGGACAGACGTGGAACGGATGGTCGCAATTCACAAGACGAATACGAAGGGCCTTCTGCCTTCCAACGGGCGCACGCGCGGCTGCTGGGCGCTGGGAGGGCGACTCACTTTCTGAAGGCCAAAAGCTGATGATTACAGTTCTTAGTTCTTACTAATTCCTATAAACCTTGGCCGGACTGCAGGGTGGTCCACGGACCACAGGGACCACCCTGTAGCTCCGCCCCTGTCGTTATATTTTACTTTTAACGACCCACCGCGCGTCGCCACAAATCGATTGCACTTCCGCGTCATAATTGGGCCTCCTTCCCGCTTAACTTTCACGTGAATCCACCTGTCAGAAATTTTTTTTCCCATCCCGCCATTCCAGCCCGCGAACACAGGGCGTATCTCTTAATAATTAAAAAACAGCGCCTATGCACACTACCCTGCCGCCGCACGCTGTTTCATCGAATTGAAGAAAGAAAAAGCGTGCCGCTGCCTGTCCCTGCGAGCGAGCCGGCCCCTGCGGACTGCCCGCCACCCTCGGCTGGCCTCTGGTTGCCCTCGACAGTAGCCTCCTCTGTGCGCTCAGCAGCTGTTGGCGACCTCAGCTCAGCTCCTCCTGGTGGCGACCTCAGCTCTCCTATCCACGCCGGCGACCTCAAATCTTGCCAAGACGCCATCTCTAGGTCAGCACAGTCGGTAAACTCAGCTCGCCCCTCCCTCCGCCCCCGTCACTGACCTCAGCTCCCCTCCCCCATCCCCACGGAAGGTGTCCCCACCCCCTCTGGCTTGCTCTGCACACACACCTCCACCCCCTCTGGGTTCCTCCATTTCTCTTCACTACCGTCATAGCCAGCTCCCCTGTCTGCCTCAGCACGACCATATCTAAATCAGGAAGGGAGCCACAGTCATTCTGTCGGTTTTTTGGATCACCGGCTAGTAAATTTCTAGTTTGCTCGTCTGACCCGGATGGTATGCTCGGAGGACACAGGGATTTATACTAGTTCGGGCGAAACTGTCCTTATGTCCAGTCTGCTGCTGCTCGTGTTAGCGGCACTTTGTTTGTCGTAGGGGTTACAAAAAGAACGAGAGAGGGAGAAGGTCCCAAGTCTCTGGTGAAAAAAGTGAGTCTGGTTGAGCTCTTTTGAAATTCGTGCCCTCCATGGGTGCCCTGCTTCCCCTTTTATAGATAAAGGGGAAGACGCATGTCACATCAGAGAGAAAGAGAGAGAGAAAGAGAGAGACGAGGAGAGGAAGGCTTCCGGGATTGCGACGTCTTCCATCTCCTTTACGCGGGACCCGCCGGCCCTATAGATGACAACGGGGATGGCTCCATGTCACGGCCCTGTTCATCACTGGTGCCATACGCGGGCGTCATCAGCCAGTCGTGGCGCTCCATCCTGTCCTAGCAGATGGTATGGCCAGCTGACGCCTCCACTAGAGGTCGTACGGGAGGTAGCTAGCACAGCGCTAGCACGCTCGATGCTGTTGTTGACTCGCATCCTCAGACGTGGGCTATCGTGGCCGCGCGTCACATCAAGGCGTGCCTGCTCCCCTTCTAGCGTCAGAAGTTTGACCCTAGACTCGTACTCTTAGACTCGTAGTGGTTGGGGTGGTACGGACCCCCTTTGGGCAAGGCGAAACCCATGCCCTCGGGGCTCGGGTGAGGCGGAGCCCCCACTCGAGGGGTTGAGCGAGGCAAAGCCTGTGCCTTGAGGTCAGGCGAGGCGAGCCCGCGCTCTCGGGATCGAGCAAGGCGAAGCCCACGCTCTTGGGATTAGACGTGACGGGGCTCTCGCCCGAGGGGTCAAGCGAGACGGAGCCCGCGCCCTTGGGGTCGGGTGACCCGGATCCCGCGTCCTTGAGGTCGGACGACACGGAGCCCATGCCCTCGGGGCCTGATGAGACCAAGATATGTTCTTG